CTTTGATTAATCTGGGCCGACTTGTGTCGCACGTCTAGCTTTAGTAAATTAATCTCTCAGCAGGTATTTTCTATATACACAAGGACTCGAACTCAAGACATTTGCTTCAGCGATATTAAATTGCTTACCACTTAAATCAACCTCTGTTGATAGTTGTGCTAAAATTTAATAATATCAAATAATTAAAATAATAATAAAATTAAAAATAAATGCGAGCAAAAATAAATTTAGATATTAAATTAGAAATTAATAAAATCTAGGTTTTAGAAAGTGATATATGGTATTTTTCTTAGCAGAACAGTTCGACGGTAAAGGCGGATGACATCTTAAATGGTGACTAACACCAGGCTTTTGTTTTTAGCACTTGTTAGTTACTAGCTGATTTATGGAACATTTGCCGTCCGAATTTCGAAGTACTGGTGTTTTCCCCATGCAAGCCAAGCGTCTTCCGATCAGGGTATATCATTTTTATTTTTTATTGGGTAAACTATAAAAATAGTCACTGAACTTTAGGATGCTTACATTTTAACCATCGAACTTTTAAAACTTAAATACAATCACCGAACTTTTAATTCACTTTCATTGCATCATTATCGTCAACTACCATTAAGAAATGCTAACATGACAAGTTAAAGTAATCTTCTTCCCGAAAAAACCTTAAATTTCTCAAATTATTTTACAGTCATCTAACTCCTTTTGTTTGTACCGTCTAATTATTTTTTAGATCTTCGTTATCACTAAACACAACAACCACACTAATACAAAAATCAGCATCTCCCCATGATCTCAAACCATTTATCAACATCATTTCATCTAATTTCTTCCATCTTTCAATCATGAAACAACTAGTGCATTTCATACACACACAATTAGATAACATTCTCATAAAGCATCTTTCTTTAAACTCCATGGTCCAAGGCACAAGCTTTGGTCAAGTTTTATGTGTTAGAAGCTGTATGAATTGAAGAAATCTATATTAATTGAAACATGAACTTTTGTCACACTCTGTTGATTTCTTGTAGTTTTATTCAAAACTGGATGAGAAACATCAAGCTCTATAGGCGAAAAAGACCTAAAGTGGAGCACAAACTAAGTTATAGATAAGGATATATGTTTGCTACATAAGATTATTCAATATATTAAGCCTCTTGTGGGGTTTGTGAGACTCTAGTGTTTTCTACCTTGCTTTTGAGTTCTTGGAGAATGATTCTTTAAGAGAATAGCTTCAAAACAAGAGTTGTCAGAAATTTCATATATGAAATTACAGGATTCGTATTGTTTTAAATGCTGATGATGGGCTTCATGACATTACCTCCACAACTTCATCGCCTAGCATATGTGTATAAAGAAATTTGCAGTGATAATGGGTGTTTAGGGTTTGGATGAAATGATTATGATCAATGATCCAATAATTATGGAAAGGTGATGAAGCTCTTGAGTATAGTGGACGTTATGATACAATATACTTTATAATATAATAATTTAATTTATTGACGATATAAAAATATATAGCGTTAATACAAGGAATGCAAACTAAATTAATAATACAATGAATGCTTCCGGAAGTAATAGTAGATATTTTTAGGGGTGTTAAAAAATCGTTATAGTTAACCGAACCCGTTAAGCGGCATAACAGTTACATTCAACATGATAATTAATCAAATTGTTATTGTTAAACGGTTTTAGTTAATCGAACCGTTAAAATGATGGTTACCGATTTAGGTTATAGTTATGAATTTGATAAATGATTAACCGTTAATAAATTAAATTTATAATTATATTTTTTTAAGGAAAACACTAATATAATTAGAAGTAAATTTTAACCATATTCTTAAAATTTATATTTTTTAATAAGATTTGTACATAAATAATTTAATATATATTTTTTATTCTTTTTAATTTTTTATTTCTTTGAAAATACATAAATATATTTACGCTAATATAATTATGTGTTTATTGTTAGGTATCAAGATATTGGTAGATGTACATACTTACACAGGAGTAAGTACATGTTAAGTACTCTTTTTTATTTTATTCTCTTATACTAGTGTAAGTATGAGTTAAGTGCTACACTTTTTTGTAGTATGAATTGTGAAACTTTAAAACGTTTATGTTGTGTTATTTTTTGAAAAATAATTATAATAGGTTAACTTATAATCGAACCGTTAATAATAATTAAACGTTTCTTAATGATTATATTACATTTAAAAAAATCTCGTAACCATTATAACGATTAACCGACCGTTTAGACTAAACGATACGACTAATCATCCATTCTACGTGTTTTCCATCTTTTCTTGTTATCAACGAGCATCAATTTTTTCCATAAAACAATTATGTTCGAGAACCAAACGCAAGCTAGGTTTTATATAAATTATAAATTCAAATTTATTTTCTATTTTAAATTTTTAAAATTTAATTATATTATTTATCTATCACTTAAATAAATAAATAACAGAGACTAATAAAAAATCCACCTTGGAAATTCGTTCTACATGTTGCATTCCGTAAAAGGGGATTGCTTCTTGAGATCTATTTCTCATATGGAGTAAATAAAATACATTTAAAAAAGTAAAGAATTATTATGGAAACGACCTTTCTAATCGAATTTGTACTATTTATAATAGTTATAATTCGAATCTTTAATATTATTTAAAAAATATAATATCTATCCCACTAAATCATCTAATTGTTATTAAATACATTAAAGATTATTAAATTATATCTAATTATAATTATTTTAAAAATATATAAAACAATCATTATAAAATAATAATTAATTTTTATCAAATTATTATAAAATAATCATTAAATTTATCAAATGTCTATATTTATTATAATATTATAATGACCATCTTATAATAACTTAATAATTTTTTTAGAAATATAATAATCAAATTAATTATTTAAATATAATTTAATAACTAAAAAATTATTATTTTTAAATAATTGTTATATAAAATAAAAATTTTACTCGTAATAATATTGAACTCATAATTTAAAGAGAGAAGAATATAATTGAAAACTGATAAAAATAATTGTTAAATATAATATAATAATTAAAGTAATCATTGAGTATAACTAAAATAATTGCTACGTATGCACGTGGGCTAGCTTTGTCTATTGATATAGTCTGATATCTTGTTTATTCACGGAAAGTGAGCTGTTGGTATGTAAACGAGTTGAACCTACATAAATGGAGATATGTTTATATTCGTTTAAATGAATAAAATTTTTTTATTTATGTTCGTTTATAAATGGAGGTATGTTTATATTCGTTCATTTAATAAATAAACGAATAAAAAAATTTGTTCATGTTCGTTCATTAAGGAATATAGTTTGTTCATGTATGTTTATTTAAATGATAAACGAACACAAACGAACAAACATAAACGAACATAATAAATGAACAACACAAACACAAAAAATAAACTTATTCGAACACAACAATGAATGTAAAAAAGTAAACAATAAGAATAACAACTTAAAATTCATTAATATAACCTACAACTTTATAGTTAATTTGCTCGAATACGACAAAAACATACATAAATAATAAATAAGCTATATGAAAATAATAACTTCTTAAAGTTAATTTGTTCAACTAAACAATCTTCTTGAAACCAAACAACTTCAATAATCTTCGTAACATATTTAACTTGCCCTCTGTTCGAACATAAATGAAAATAAATGAACGAACATATAATCGAACGTTCACGAACGTAAATGAACGAATAAACCCTTTGTTCGTGTTCGTTCATTTAAGTAAACAAACGCAAAATCTTATTTATGTTCGTTCATTTAATAAATAAACGAAAATAAACGAACTTCCAATCGCACGGTTAATCAACGATTCGTTGAACATTCAGTTTATTTAAAGTCCTAGTCAATTGCCATTTAAATATGAACTTATTATAACCGTTCGACGATTCGCTCTACTCTACAGTCTCTACTTTCTCAACCGAAGATACCAATGTCTAAGATGACATATGATCGTATGCCGCCGCTTGCTAAATCGCCTATCCGTCAACGGCCCCGTCGCATCCTCCGTCCAAACTCAAAATTAAATATTATTTTAAATAATTACATTTTTTACAATAATAATATTTTACCTCTTAAAAATATAAATTGATTAAAATACTAAATATTAAAAATACAAAATACAAAATAATTTTAACTACTCAAATTTATTATATATTTTACTAAATTAATTTTTGTATATTATTAGTATTATTATTAAGTTTATAATTTTGAGTAAACAGAAGAATAAAAATGAATAAGGATCAATATGAAAATAATTCATTATTTCAAAAATATTTATGTCCAAGGTGGTAAGAATTATTCATTATCTAAGAATTTGAAGATGATGACATTTTCAATATTTTTAACTAAAAATGTTACTATTGATAATAAGTTATTACCCGGTGATGATCTTTTCCGCGAACCAAACGTAAGAATATAATTCCAAAAAATATTATTTACTTTAATAATAATCTTTTTTGCGAACCAAACGCCTATTTTTCTTGTTGTACAAAGGAAAACAAGCAAAGAAAAGAATATGCTGAATGGATGTAAATGAATGAATGAAGTTCCTTGGTTTCATCTTCTCCTCTCACATGTTTGCTGCATCTCCTTTGGGTAACCTAAAACTTACGAATCAACAATACGAATGAAATTGCCAGAATCTTAAACCCTTCTAAAATGCAGTACAGGGCTAGCTTTCCGCTCTTAATTTCATTAATCTACAGTTCTCGGTACGAAATTTGCCATGAAGAAACAGTTTACATGTAATCTAAGAACAAGCTATAAAGATTGTTTGGTGCATGGTCTCCCCCTTGAAACTCCAGTTACAGGTGTATTCGTAGGAATGTCTTCTCATGGAGTGAACAACGCATCCGCTGAGCTTTGAAGATAAGTACCAAGCTTCTTCCGGAAGCAAGGCCCAGAGTAAAGCAGAGTCAATTGATCGTTCCAAGTGGCACGAAAGGTAAATTCAGTCCTCAATGTAAACTATATAAATCTTATTGGTAGAACTGTACATGGTTCTAGGTTAAACAAAAAGAGATACTTGAACCGATGGGAACATTGTTAAATAGATGCCCATAATTAAGTCAATTCAGTGGAAGTAACCGTACAGCTCCAGAAAGCAAATGCATAAGCTCCAGGGGTTCGAGGCATGAGTGGTTGGCCCAGTGAGTAGAACCCTGAAGAATCTAAATGGAAGCAGCGCATTTGGTCCAGTTACACGCCATGATGCAAACTGACCGGGCTTGCACACGCTTTGATCATTCTCGTGCACTCTCAAATCTATCCAACTCCTTCCATCCATACAACCCTGAAAAATCATGGAGAGTTAACTTACAGTTCACTGCGCTCCCATTGTTAGAATTCACTTGTATCTTCATTACCTGAAATTTCCAATTCCTTATGTAAGCCCTAGAGCCGTCCTGTCTCAATGTGTAGTAGTTGCACATAAGCTGCATTAATCACATTTACCACTTGGTTTTTAGAAAAATTGGTAAACAGTTTTACTCAAAGTAGAGCCAAGACCAATCAAATTAATTCCGGTACATTCTACAACTCGAAGAGATCTCGCATGTTCAACTTAATACAACTAAATGAGTGTTCTTATAGAAATGCAGGTTAATAAGAGGAAGAACCGAGCAGAAACCTGATGATCTTGGCCAATGTCAAGTATCCACCATGCAAAGATGTTTCCGTTTTCCATACGAGGTCCGGCGAAACATGTTCCCTGAAGCAGGGGATCATTTGGTTAAGCAAAATAATGCAGCATTATGCTTTATATTTGTTCTGGAGAGCTTTAAAAGGTTCGATTCATCATACCTGGTAAGTTCTTGATACTAAAACCTTGGGATCAGTATGACTTGAAACAGGGCCACTAGGTGTAATAGCAATTCTCTGAAGCAAGAAGTTGAAGAGATGATAAGGAACGGTAACTGTATTATGAATGAAAAATCAGAGAGGATTGATAGAGTATTTCACCTTGGACAGAACAGGGTTAACCCATGGGTGCTCCCCATATGATGTCCCAGATAAGTACAGAACTCCGTTGCTGTCTCCGTTGCATATATACTGGAACGTCTGTGTTGAAACCTTACACTTCACAAAATACAGACTCATGTTAGTCAAGCTCAAGAACACTGCCCCTAACCCATGCTGTATTGGCTCTGTGTAGGATATAGCCGTGTGTACTTTGTATTAAACTTGTATTTTAAATTTATCGAAGTAGAAGATAAGATAGTTATCTGTTTAGATAAGAAAATAAACACCTAGAGGAACTTTTATGCTGTAAATCCTAGGACTCTACTGTTGTTAACTCAGACTATACAGACGAACCAGTAAACTCTCTTCTTTTCTCTCCCTTTTCTCATTAAATTTATATGATATGAAATATTATGGCGTTCCCACCAGCGTCTTCCTGTCTTCCTCGAAAATCAGTTCCGAATCAAACTGACGTATACCCTCTTCAATTCTTCACCTATTCCTATAATCTGTCATGCTAATACAACGGTTGTTTCCACCAAATAGTGACAACAATCACTTCAGTGTGGCGTAGATTGGAATACTACAAAAGCAACTTGGACGAATGTCAACCTCTCATGATAAAAAATTTGCATAACATACTCGCCAAATCTATTCTGCATTAAATATAAACCCTCAACTCCATTGTCCATCATTCATAGAGTAAAAAATGTTAATTGAGTTGGATGGTTCCTCTCATTTATAAATGATCATTCTAGGACAATACGGACTTTCTTATGAAAGAAAAATTTGAAATTGATGGTTTATTTTTATATCTTTGTATACTGTGGTTGGAAGTTGGAACCTAATTTAAGAGCCAAATTCAAATCCTCAAAACAGATAATGGGATTGAATAGGACAACCTTAGGATCTTACGTTAGAGAAGAAGGGATAATTCAACTGTTAGAAGTTACTAGGTCTATCATATTTTCCGCGAGTGCTCCCAAACAATTCTGGGGAAACTCATCCTTACTACGACTTACCTTATTAATAAAATGTCTAGCAAAGTCTTATTAATTTAAAAGACCTTGTGATGTTCTCCTACAACGATTTCCTCACTTCAGGTCTTTTATCTTGATTTTTCCTTAAAAGTATTTGATTGTTCTACGATTGTTTACTTCCTTCCACCACCATTATAGTATCAAACATGATCATAAGTCTATCAAATGTGTGTTCTTAGTCTACTCTTCTAATCAAAGTGGTACAAATGATACTCTCCCCTTACTCAGAAAACATATACGCCACGGATGTCACATTCCTTCACAACCAGCCTTATTTTACCAAAGCTGAGCATCTGTGTTTTACTTTGTATGAAAGATGAGAAAGTAAACACCTAGCATGACTCTTATGTTGTAAATCCTAGTAAGACTTTATTGTTGTAAATCGGTCTATTTTAATAAGTCTGATATATTCGTTTATTCGAATAACAGAGAAATAGTAGAGAAAAACAACTCTCTCTTCCCGTAAACTCTCTCAGCTTTTGCTCTCCTTTTTTTCAATAAATTCGAACTTTGGACATTAATTTCAAAAAGAATGCAGCATATATATTACAAGTCTAATAAAATAAAATAAAAAAACTAGCATCAATAAGCAAGATTTAAATTAGCTCTTTCAGAAAGAACCAAACATGACTAAAGAATTTCCCTGATAGCCAGACCAGTACTCAAAACAATGATGAGGGTTACAGCAAGCAAGCTAAAGCCTAGAAAGAGAGGAAATTATAGTAGACGACTTAGTTTCTCTTCATGGTTTATGCGTCGGATTTTGAATCTAAATTTCCATTTTCTCAGCAACAAAAGTGACATTTTTATTCAGAATAGAATCCTTATGAGCAAGACATCAAGATGTGTAAGCACAAAAGACGACTTACTTCCGGTCATTTCCATGTGTTGCTGCTCCGCATTCTATATAATTAATGGCTTCCTTAACCTATTTCAATAAAGACATCAGCAACGGAGGAAGCAAAATATGGAATTAAAATACATGTCCAAAACGAATCTTCGAATAGAAACAATGGACTTACAAGATCACCAAAAGCAGAAATCTGCCTGCTAATACTGGTATTATCTAACTGCAACATTGTTGAAAACAATAGCAGTCGATAATTGAGCCATGGTCATATCTTAGCACTCCTTGATAGATAAGGTTAGATCCCGGGTTTTATTACCTTCTTAAGCAGGGAGTATGGCAATAAAGGGAACCGCACTGATAGAAGCAAGTCATTAACCAGTTGAAGCCCATCCTTGAACACACTTTCTAAAGTTGAATCTGTAATAAGCTCATTCACCACTTCCCACCCACATAATTTCTCTGATTTCATATACCACATCAAAATTGCATCGAGAACTCTTTCTTCAGATGTTACTGTTAGATCTGGATGCTGCAAGAAATCCATAATATATAATAATAAATAAGGAAACCTATCATGTGGTATACTTCATATGTAAGTCTATATGTAGGTTATAACTTGCATAAACTGACCCGAAGATGGTTATAATTTAAGTTTCTATTCTCTATCTATATAACTGAGTACTGACTAGCCACTTAAAATGTAGCAACATAAAGCCATCACTACATAGATTAGCCTTCACGTTGGAAATTATATTCTATGCACAGAAGCACAGAGCACATCAGCTTCATCCTAAGATAGCTAAGATACCGTTCGAGTTTTGGCAAGCAACGACCCACCTGAATAATATTCCTAAATGTCATCTCATCTAAAGAGATGAAATCAAGGTTTGCAGTAGTGCAGTAGTCAAAGTGCATGGCAAACTTCCTTTCACAAGTTTCCTTGATGAGTTTGCACGATGGGATTGACGAAATTGTCGAAACGATTTTTTTTCTAAAAGGTGAAAAAGCGAGATTTTGAAAACCACGTTAATTTTTGAATTATCTCTTTTAATTTTAAAACAAATGCAATTTAAAAACCTCTCGTTTCGAAAAAATTTGGATTTTCTTTACGATCGAAAAAATATGGTTCAAAGAGTCGCCACCAATCTTTGATTAGGGTGTGATTAGGCACCCAAAAAATGTTTGTTATTTTAAATAAAAGTTTAATTTAATTAAAACAACAAATTAAGGTCTGCGTTAGCAAAATCCGAGTTCGGGAGTCGGTTACGTGCAGGGAAGGATTAGCACCCCCACAACGCCCTAAAACGGTACCTAGTCGATTAATTAATATATTTGCAATGAACTTTACAAATTCGAACTTAATTTAACTTTTGATCTCATAAAACAAATATGTAAATTTTAAAAAAAACATTCAAAAACACTTAAATAAATTAAATTAAAATTACCAAGTCGTTTTAGAAAGATAAAGAATGTTCGATTATTTACAAATATCGAGACCAGATCTTAAAGATATAACAACCTTTTCTCGATATATTTAAATAAACGAACATTTCTTTTTCTCTCGTTCCCAAATTTTAGGTGACGAATCATTTTTTTGGTTTCACTTTAGGGATACACTTTTAATTTAAAATCGTCAAAACGACCCTCTAATCAGTTAAGATAGGTCACTCGAGACAATTTTAAATTAAAAGGGTATTACCCTTAGTTTGATTATGTAATAGGTCGAGTTATGCATGTGAGGCTATCATGTAAATTATGAAAAAAAGTGGATGTCATGCCAAAATATTTAAATACCACAAATTATAACTTTTATATATATATATATATATATATATATATATATATATATGTATGTATGTATTAATATGTAATGTACGAAAGTGACTTAAAATAATAAAAAAACATATTAACTCCAGAATACAAATTTCACGAGATAACTGAAGATATTAATTTTTTTACCCATTTTTATTATTATTATAATTATAATTATTATTATTATTATTAATATATATTATTTATTAATATTACAAAACCCAAATCGAGGCCCAACAGACTGGCCCAAACAAAACAAAAAAACCCTAAAACCCATTTAGGGTTTATATCTCAACTGTCGCCGCTTTGCTTCTCCACTGTTGGATCTAGCATTGATTCAACGGTCCAGATGGCGCCAGACGAAACCCTAGGGTTATGATACCCTAGGGACTACACCAGCTGCCGCCGCTCCACGTCGCTCCAGCCGCTGCCACGCCCCAACCGAAGGCTCCAGAAGCTCCAACACCAGTCGTCCACGTTATGGCCATGGGGGTGAGTCACCACTGGGAGTCCGGTGACTCGCCGAAGGGTATTCTTTTACCCGGTCCGATGGCCACACCGGTGATGGCTATAAAGCCATCACCCCATCTGCAAAGAAGAAAAAAAGAACAGACCACAACAGAAAACAGAGAGACAATACCAAGAGCAAAAATACGAAAACGGAGAGCAACAACCCAACAACCAGCAGAAAAAAAAAAAGAGAGAGAAGCTTACCGAGGAAGCCCCGACCACCGGACCTCTTCAAACGTCACCAAAACCTTCGAAAATCGAAGGTACTTTCTTAGATTTGCTCCGATCGGGAACTGTTTAGGAGAAAAGAGCATCGGAACCGTCATTAGGACCGTCCGGTGACCGGCTTCCCTCCGATGAGGGAAGCTAGAGAGAAGGGAGAGCTTTTATTCTCTCTCAGTTAGAGAGAGAAATAAAAAAAAAAGAAATGAGATATGGCCCGAAGGGCCAGCCGGATTTGGCTTTAAATAGCCCTTCCCGAACGACGTCGTTTCGGGGAGGGCTATTTGTGTAATTTTTAATTGCTAAATCCCATCCGCCATCCCTTGAATTTGTAATCCTTACATTTTAGTTTCTAAATTGAGTTTATAATCCTTTTAATTCAGATCTTTAATTTTAATTTTATTTATTTTAGTCCTTTGTATTAAAATAATATATTTAGGGTAAATAACAGATTTAGTCCTATAATTTTAATAATTAATATTTTAATCTGAATAGTATGTTTTAATTTATTTTATTCTAATATCCGAATTTTATATAATTTTATTTTAGTCACTAAATTAATAAATAAGAAAATAGCATGTTTAATCCCTATGATTTTGATTAATTATGAATTAGGTATTTAATTTTAATTTTACTATAATTTAGTCACTAATTTTAAATCTTTTCATTTATTTTATTGCTTTTAAATATATAGTTCTGTATTTTTATTGTTTTAATTTTACTTGTTTATATATTTAAATATTTTTATTATTATTATGTATTCATAAAAATATAAATAATAAATAATAATTTATATTTTTTTAATAAATTATTTTAACATTTATTTGTCAATATCGAAGAAAAGGGCAGTCTTAATACAACTGGATGTCCTATTCTGGTATTTTAAAATTAAATATTATAAAAAATTATTATTTTATTCAAATTAATATTTATTAATATCAAAGAAAAGAGCTGTCTTAAGACACCTAGAAGTCCTTTTCTGATATTTTTAAATATTTTTTATATAATTTTGAAATAATAGGATTATAAATTAAATATATTTTGAATTTTTAAATTTTTAATAATAGAGACAATTTATAATTAAAAAGTACCAATTTTGGGCGTTGTAGGGGTGCTAATCCTTCCCTAAACATAACCGACCACGAATCCCTTTTTATTATTAAAAAGAACGAATTTTTGGTTATAAACGCATATCAGTTCATTTTTTTATTGATGTTTTCTTAAAACTCTTTTAAAAAAAATAATTTTTAGGTATTCGACCTACCTGACCCAAAAGGCCGATGGCGACTCCCAAATTATTTTCAAAAACCATTTATTCACATCAATTTTCCCGCCAAAGAAATATTTCGTACCCGGACGAAAACCGGTTACGAAAGCTTGGCGACTCCGCTGGGGACTGGTCAAACTTTTAAAATCAATTATAAATTGTCTCTATTAATTATAAATTAAAAATTTATATATTTTATTTATAATTCTTTCTTTTCAAATTTTTTTATATACTTATTATTTTCATAGTATTTATATATTTTTCTATTAATATTTCATTTTATTTGCAAGTATTTTATTATTTATTTTTTTCTGTCAGAGGTTTGAACATTTCTCCTCACACACAACACTTGCATAGCATAACATAAAGCTCTATAATTGAGTTTGTCCCTTTTAAGTGGGAGTGAAAGCGACGTCTTCGTGAGAATTTATTCTCCGTGTCAGACCTAGCAAGTAACTTTCGGGGTTCATATGCTCTATGTCTTCGTGAGAATTTATTCTCCGTGTCAGGCATAGAGAAATGTATCCCCTCGAATTGAACTCGATCCGTTTTAGTCTGTGATGGATTAGGATTGAGGGTTAACAGCCCAAGGGGGCACTAACAAGGACAATTTGGGTACCTTTATTCTTAGATCTAAAACCTTGCATATAATAAACCCTAGAAACTCTTCCGATCTGAAGCCATGCCGAAATTTTGTCCAAAATAGGTGTACACACAGGAGAAATGAATTCTAACTTTCCTTTTAATTTATTTATTTTCTTACTGATTAAATTACATGTATATTTAAATTATTTAAATTATGAAAAAGCATGTTTAAATAAAAATATTTAGGTAGATATTATCATTAAGTTTCTTTATTATGTAAACTAATTCATTTCTTTTTGTGTGTTCTTTATTTTTTCTGTTTGCATAGCATCATACAGGATAAAAGGAATTGATCCTCGTGTTAATTGTCTCATTGGAAAGCCTTCATCCATGGATAAAAAGTGTTCAAATCAAATAATTCTAAACTCAGAAGTAAGACAGTGGGCTGAGGACTTACAAAGACAAGGAGGAGACAGTCTGCAGGATGATTATGTATCTGACTTGGCCAGTTATGCTCCAGTTTCGCTAAAAAGAAATGATATGCAAGATTTGCGAAGCATTTGGGAAAGTTGGGATTCAAACAAAAAATTACAGTTTTATCAGACTTACAGAGACATCCCATATTTGCTCTATGTCGAAGTTGATGATGAATTACTCAGAGCCCTAATTCAATTCTGGAATCCAGGGTACAATTGCTTCACTCTCAATAAGGAGGACTTGGTCCCTACTATTGAAGAGTACACAACTTTGCTACATATAGAAGGAGCTTTGGAGAATCGAATCTATTCAAAGTCAATTAAAACTCAACCCTTTCGAGTTAAATTAGCAAAGATTGCCGGGGTACGAGAAGAATGGGTGGCATCCCGTACAAAACAAAAAGGCGAAAGCGAAGGCATTGCTTGGACCAACATTAAAGAACTTATTCAGAGTCATCCAGACACTAAAGTACGATTCGATCTATTTGCTCTGGGTATGTATGGTATGGTCATCTTCCCAAAAGTATTGGGATATGTTGAAGCTGCAGTGGTAGATTTGTTTGAACAGCTACCGAAAAAGATTAATCCTGCTTCTGCAATTCTAGTAGAGACCTTCAGATCATTAAATGCTTGTAGAAAGCTAAGAGGTGGACGATTCTCAGGGTGTACCCAATTGTTATATGTTTGGGTCCGTAGCCATTTCTGGAAGACAGAAAAGGTTTCATACCGACGCTTTAATACGGATTACGCACCATTAAAAGAATTTCTGGAGCAAGAATGGCCGAAAGAAATTAAGAAAGATATGTGGATTAATGCTTTTGGAAATCTGCAAAGCAATGACATTGTTTGGCGAGCCCCGTGGCAAATCCAAAGGGAATTCTTTTACAAATGTGGGGATTACAATTGGATAATGCTGCTCGGATTATGGGGAGGAATTGGATATGCACCACTTCTGGTCATAAGACAGTATGAAGGTCGTCAATTTGTACCTGTCACCACTGGATTACATTCATCTGAGTTCGCATTCCACAGCAAAAATTATAAAAGAAATATCATGGAAGCTGTTACAGCTTGGAAAACAACTTTTTGTATCCGAGCTAAAGCAGCAAAAGAAATGCT